ATATCCCGACCTAAAATCCTGCTCGGGATCAGGAGCACAGTATCTTCCATGATTGATGCACTGTGATTTGCATTGTCTGCTTAAGGTAAACGCCTCGGGACAAAACCAAGTTATATAATGCGGCGTAAACTGAGTATAGTGACGCCTCTCAAGTATCTGCGCAGCACCCTTGAATTCTTTCAAAAATTCCATCAACATGTCACACTTAAACCCACATTCATCGTTACTATTAGTCCAAAGCTCGTATTCCACACGGTCATCGGGATGCGGAACAGCTTCTCGCCAGTCAAGACTCAGGCTGACCATTTCCCCAGCATTGATTTCTTTCTTTAACTGTTCACTGAAACTCTTTCTTATAAGCGCAGATGGTATGGTTATATTCTGTACGTATGTCGCAGTCGAACCATCCTCTTCAGGTGAGTCCATAGTAATTAATGGCTCATCGAGATGGTCTGCAACAAGAACTGCAGAAGCACCGACCTTTTGGGCGTTCCAAACCTTAAGAGCAAATAAACAGTCTGGAAAACGGGCAACGAAATAAGATATCAGACAAATTGCTAAAACCATTAAAAGAGCATTGTCATAGGGTATCAAAACCTACATAAAATGGTTCTGAACTGATAAGTTACTTCCATGGTATGTGCAAGAATTATCGAGCATAGAAAGAAAAGCGTTAAACCAAGTAAGATTGCAAAGACATAACGATAGTAAGGACGGGATATCCCCACCCTCCGAACCGGACGTGAAGGTCTCCCTTCATCGGGCTGCTCTTGCTGAAATCATTACCGTTCAGCCACAAAAGCCTTCAGCATATCAGCCTCTACAAAACCCAAGTGCAAAAGCAACAGAACCACAACTACAGAACTAGTTTCTAAAAGCGTGAGATGCCACATCGGTTGGAGAGGGGAACGAAACATTCTTTATAAGGATATAGAAACCTCTCCATGGCTGACACGTTCTAAAACCTTAAGGAAAAGCCCAAAGAGGAAAATACGTGCCAGCTGCGGTTTGGGCGTTTACAAAAAGTGAAGAACAAAATTCTCAGAAGAAACACCCCATCAATCAGCCATTAGAAGCCAGCAGACTTTCAACCAAGCTAAAAACCCAGTTCATCATCAACTAGAAGTATGAAAAAACAAGAACTAACAAACAAAGAAAGACATCATCAAACCACCAGAAGGGTGTTCTTCAAAAGCTAAATCAAACCATTCACGTATTACTTCCTAGATCAACAAAAGGGTAACCCAAAATCACCAAAACCAAATCAATTTAACCTTAAAAAACACGAAAAAAAACCCAACAATCACAAGAACAAAGTTACCTCCACGGTCAACCATGACGAACAGAGGAAGAGACCCTGGTTTCGACTGGAACGAAACATGGAAATCACTGAACTCTTTACACCCTTTTTGATTCTCCTTAGGATAAACCAACATACCCGCCAAGCTACCTCCATACTGAGGAATCCCAAAATTTCCAATGGCAGAATCGTAAGTTCCCCTGATTCTCTCAGGAGAAGTAACCCTCAAGCTATTTTTCTCCACCACAAACTTCGCCGCCGACAGGGGAACCAGACATAGCAGCAGAAGCCATGGAAATGGCAAAACCCCCAAATTATGGTGCCCCATTAAGGAAAAAACTCGTGGGTTTTGCTCAATCCCTAGATTTGATTTTAAATCTGTCAAGAAATGGCGAATCGCACAGCTCAACGCTTCCCAGTTACTTGAATTTTCAGTTCTTGGAAGCTTTAGTCTCTCAAAAAGATTCCATGGCGCGTTGGGTTTAGACTTTATGAAAAGGAAAGAGGAAGATGATATCTATCTTTACTGTTCTTATATTTGGTTGAATTTAATTAGAATTAATTACTTTATCTTAATCCTTATTTTAATACAATAATCTTACTAATCTCCAATAATCAAGCTTGTTGGACCCAATCTTGGAAGTAGTTCATATTTTAATCCAAAATTTAAAGAAAAATAATTATAACATGAAAAGTTTCAAATAATTTTTTAATAGGAAAATTTTATAATTGTTTTTTTTTCAGATGAAACAAAACGTGTTTGGTTATTGCAGTCTGCATTCATGCTAATTTGTATTTTCCTTTGCATTTGAATATTGCTGTCCTTTTTTTATTTATTTTAAAAAAGGTATTTCATTTTAACTTTTTTGAATTTTAGCAATATATAAATAAAACAATTAATTTTTTTTGGGGTGATATAATGTAAACTCTAATTAAAGACACAATAATTTTAAAGCATAATAAATTTATATTTAAAACTTAATAATTACCTCGCCTAATAAAGGCTAATAACTCCCTCAACTAATAATCGTCTCATTATTTGATTTTTTTTTTAACGTTTAAATTGAGCGGATAGTTTATTGAGTATTATCTTTCCTAAATTGTATTAACAGTCTGAAAAAAGATTTGTTTTTTTTTTTCGAACTGATATCTAAAGATTTCCCCTTGAATCGACCCTTAAAGGTTAGGTTACTATGTGCCTGCCTCTACGAAAGAGGTTGACTCACTACATTTTCCAGCAAATAGCGTGTGATCACTTAGCCTATTTATTCTTTCACTGTAAAGTCGGTAAAGCGGCTGGATGATCAGATCCTCTCTTTTACAGTCGAGCTGTTTTGCTCCTTGATTGTTTTTATTTGGAGTGGGTGTGGAAACTATTTTTTAATTTTTAGTCAAATTTCAAAAATAATTTTTGTTTATTTAGTTTAAATTTTGACCCAAAAATAATAAAATAAAGATTTAAAAATGGTGAAATTCAACTAAAAAGAAATTGAATTAATAAAAAAAAAAAAGTTAAGGGCAGGAGCCCTACAATTAAGAAGCATCCACATCAAAGGACAAAGATTTGTCCTACATTACAATACAATACAATAGGGTTCCCCACGAGCAAAACCTTCCCTGGGAATGATGGAAGATATTATTGGTGGAGGACCTTTCTTTTCAATTTGAACCATAATTTTTTTTTAATGTTAATATAGGAATGCACAACCATACACGTGGACGTCTCATTTGAGGTCGACAAAATTGTTCTAAAGAAACCTTCCCACCGTCTTTTAGCTCTTGTCGTTTTTCTCTCTCTATTTTCTTCTCTCAACTCGTTAACTTTGACAACAGGTGAGCGTTGTGCTGAAGTAGTTTTTTGAGCATGTGACAACAAGGAATCCTTCAACCATCTTTGTAACAAGGCCCTAGTTTACCGCTATCAAATATTGTCTGCTTTGACCCATTATGTATCGTCATCAACCTCACAGTTTTGTGACAACAAGAAGTCCTCCCACTTTCTTTCTAACGGTCCAAGCCTATTGCAAGCAAATAATGTTCGTTTATGCCTGTTACGTTATTAGTTATTAGGGTATTACATCATGAGCGGTTTTGAGTTATTCTCTTGATTTTTTCCTTAGTAAGAAACTATACATTCTTGTCGGGTATCTATTTTGAGTGTCGTGAATCATTTTGCATTCCCATCTCATTGTCCAATATTTTCCAAAATGTGTTCATAATTGTTCTTAGAATTAAAAAGTCAAACCAACCAATGTTGACTTTGGAGCCTTATCATTTAATAGCCTCACATTAATTAATAAGGGGGAGAGAGAGATCAAAAGGGAAGTTTTTATTCTGCAGAAAACATTAAAAGGAAATAAAAAAAAAAAAAAAAAAAAAAAAAAAAAAAAAAAAAAAAAAA